GACCTTGTATCAAATCTTGCTAAGATGACAGAATGGTGTTTGTTCATTTATATATGAGACCTCTCAAGACACAGTGATATACAGGGTTCAACAGAGTACAACAGTAGTGTGGAGTGACAGAGAGAAGCAGAGGCACAGAGACAGGCCAGGTTGTTGTCTGTGTTTCCTGCTGTTGCAATAAAACTCATCTGATCATCCCACGGAGTACCTTCATTCTTGGACCACGTATTTCTGTCTTTGTTAAATAAATATTACCATAACAGCTACGTTTACATGGCCATACGTAATCAGATTAAATGGCAATTCGGAATAAAAATGTCTCATATAAACACCCCATTGGGATTATTCTGACCCGATTCAGCTCAATCTGAATGAATTTGTAATGAGAGAGGTGGTTTATGCTGACTGATAATCTGAAAGACGTGCATGTAAACACTTAATCCGATCATCTTAGTCTGATTGTGGAAAACTGACCTGACTGTGCATGTCTGCTGACTTTCATCCACCGGTTTCTGCACTTTTGTGGAGGGAGGGAGGGACAGCAGCGCTGTAGTTTCCAGCAGCACAGAACTTTTCCTCCTGTTCTCTCATTCAATCATTCAATAAAGAAGGAAGACAAGCAGTCTGCACTGCTTCGCCAAAAAATGAATAAATAATAATAAAATTTAAAAAAAGAAAATCAACGCATCACCTGCAGCTCAACCAGGGAGTGCTGTAACGTCTCCCCCATTATTAAAAACTGTCGCAGGTCCATTRTGGGTGCTCAGAAGATGGTTTACGTTCATCACGGGAGTAGAACTTCTTCTTCTTTTGTGTTTGTTTTAGAGAAAATTAACTCTGCGCATGTCAGTGCTTCTATTCTGAATAAAATCTTGGTGCATGTGAACACTCGTCATGATCGGATTGTGCCCCTGTAAGCGATACATTCGGATTATTTAATCCAAATACATTTCAATCTGATCAAATAATTTTGTGCATGTACACATAGCTTATGAAAGCAAAAAAGTCATAATAATTTCAACTACAAAAAGAGATATAGAAAAGATCCATTTATGAGAAATTAGGCAGGTTAATCTTTCCTGCCCACAGCCATCAGCATCTACAATAACTCTTTAGTTAGTGAGTTAAAAGAACACCTAATTTCCCTCTGGGATCAATAAAGTATTATTGAATTGAATTGAATTGAATTGAATTGAATTGAATTGAATTGAATTGAATTGAATTGAACTGAACTGAACTGAAGACTGTTTCTTGATAGCAATGAATGTCAATTTTCACTTTTCCTCCACTGTATGTTTGCTTTGTAAGTTATCACTGTTCCATCATGGTTAGCAAACAGAAGCAGCTCAGTGGTACATCAGTTCTGACGCACAAATAGCAAGACCAACATTGTGGAATCAGCTAAATGACAACTGTGTTATTGGTCAGACCGCTGGCCTAGACCACAATAAATATTAAACATAGAAGTTTGGGTCTTTATTGCTGGCAGAATGTCAAATAGAGTTTCAGAGGTTCGTAACTTCTACTAAGGCTACTGTCACAGTGTTTCATACTTTTTCACATATGGTAACATCCTTAGAAATATTTTAAAATTGGTCAAAATGAAGAAAAAAAGCACACTGTGAAAGTATTAAATCCCGTGAAGGGCTGAATCACAGCAGCCTTTTACTAGCACTAGTCACAAACTGTTCAGGAGCCTGTGAAAACATTTGAATCTGTCATCCCCTAACTATAGTTTTACCCATCATCTTCTGGGTTTCTGTTGCTCTCCTCTGGCATTTGCGTTCTCTTTATCTTCAAGTAAAGTCCAACACGACAGAAACTCGTTCATCTGAGCCATGTTTGTGGAGTGAATGACTGGTAGAAGTTGGTGTTACRTTCAGTAAGTAAACACTGTGATCAGACAAAAAGCAAACAGCACAGAAAAAATGTGCAGACATGCTTTTCCAGCACCAAATATACTCCAACAGCACAAWACTGTATGTATGCACCAACCACATGACATCATAAACAGTGTTGTATTTGCACGGTGCATGTGTCATGAACACAAAGGAGTACATGACTGATATGTGGCTCTAATGGGACAGATAAAAAAAGCAAACAATGGAATTGCCTATTTTGCATAGAAATAAATTTGCCATGGTGTCATGGAAGTGCAGAGAGCATGTTTGCCTTATGTAACTGTGTGGATTCTGGGTTTTGTTCATCATTAAATCTTCTTGCAACTCCTGAGAGGCAGGGTGGTGCCTGTTTGCCACATCCGTCTCCAGTCTGCTGATGGAACCCACACACTACTCCAGACTGCTTGGATCTACTAGACTCGAACATTGTCTAATTTCTGGTACTGTGTCTGACTCTTGTTGAGATCTCCATTGCCAAAGGTAATGTACCTTTGGGCAACAGGGGCCACAGGAAGTAGAAGTTCATCCTGTAACGGGTTTTAACCCCGCACTCCCTCTGTCTCAGTTGTTGTGTCCTTGGGCAAGACACTTCACCCGCCTTGTCTGCTGGTGGTGGTCAGAGGGTTTGGTAGCTGTGGTGCATGGCAGCCTCACCACTGTCAGTGTGCCCCAAAGCAGCTGTGGCTACAATGTAGCTTGTCACCCTCAGTGTGTGAATGAGTGAAGCATGTTGGAGTCCTTGGATTTGATAAAGTGCTATACAAGTTCAGGCCATTTACCATTTACTCTAACCAGTGCTTCCCTTGTATTCCTCTTAGCGCCTGATGTTCAGTTCCTTGCTCCCTGGATAACCCTTGAGATAATTMTTGGCCTTGCTCACCAAGACTCCTTAGATCTTGCTCTTGAACCTGCCACCTGCAACGTCCCCTTTAACATTAACACCTAACATCTTAGCATCCAGCTTTAAGGTCCATCCTGTACTCATACAGCGCTCACCTGGTCTCATTGGTTTATACTGTCCACCCTTGAATCTCATGGTCATCTACCCTCCAACCTGTGAAGGAAAGAAGAGACAAGTAAGATTTACTCGTATTTGTAGTATGAAGAACCCCTCTTCTGAGATAACCTCTTAACCCTGTGTATCAGAACAGACCTGAACTATTTTCTTTAAAAGTTAATTTAAAGAAAATAGTTCATTCAAAAAATAAAATAAAATAAAATAAAAAAGTCACTGATGAAGAAACTGAGAAACGAATGTTCAGTTCTACTTTCTGCTGAAGTGGCTTAAAAAAAGTTAATTTAAAGATCATGGCTGTACGACTGTGCAGACGTCAACAATTTTTGTTTAAGAAAACCTGTTATGACTTTAACTTGAACAGAGTTGTGTCTCTCTGAAGGAGGCCTTCTGAGACCAAGGTCAAAGGCAGGTGGAACAGTTTATTTCACCCCTAGGTGACCACTACAAACTGTCTTCTGTTTCAATAAGGTTTATTGTCCTTCAACAGTTAATCAGCTCCAGCATGAATATATACTATTCTTAGATTTTTTAAGAAAAAAGAAAAAAATGAAATGAATCATTTTATTATTGGTTGATTTCATTGTTGTGTCATATATGACTGATGTCAATATGATCTGAACAGTTAGTGCAGATGTCACTCTAATCATTGAAGCATTAAAAGTGCTTTAATATGTTTTTCTTTTCTTTGTTTTTCAGTCAGCGCTCTTCTTGAAAGACAGACACTCTGTATTTTGTTAAGAATTGTTGGACAGAAATACTTGTCTCCAGCGTATATCTTAGTTATCCTTCAGGGAGAAAAAAGCCCAGAAAATCTGCTGACATCAACACGAAAGCCTTTTCCAGGGAGGAAGCACTTGAGTCCTGTCTGTCTGCCTTGATATTCCTGTCTTTGTTTATGTTTTTTGTATAAGAAAAAACAACATGAAAATTCAGAACTAAAATTTTAAAGCCAACACAAGGATAAGTTAACTTGAAAAGAAAACATTTTTAACTGCAAGCAATACTTTTTTTTTTTTTGGCTTGAAGGAGTTAAGCCAACTAGAGGACCTCAGGTCTCCAGCAACCTTCCAGCTGTTGCTGACACTGTCCACCTGTGAGTCACCTTAAGGTGGCTGTGGATCTCAATGCAACCTGGGAAATCAGGATTTTTTCAAGCTGGTACTGTAAGATGAACAGGTACCAGTTCTGAGGCTCAACAAAGGGTTAGGCTGTCTCTAAATGTCCAGGTGGTCTGAACAAGGCACACTCATCCCCTGTTTAAGATAATCTAAAATCTAACTTAATCTTTAGTTACCTTAGTTTGAACAACATCTATAATCTAAGGATTTTCTCCATCTCTTTTAAACTACTTCTAAGACTTTATTATTTTTGTCTTTTATGTTATTGTTTTACTATTTTTATCC